GCGGTTTCATTCCGCGGGAATGTTATATCGTTCAGCAATCCAGTGCTCGATCCGAAACCGGTAACAGTTTCTTCTCGTGTTGAAATGGTTTCTGAGAAAAAAATTCCATCGGTAATATCGATCTTAATGCAAGATCGCCATGGCTACTCACATACTCTGGACCATTGATTTGGAAATGTTAATGCCTGGTATATCACCCTTCAAAGGGTTTTTTTCACTATATACATGTGGAGAGGTGTCACAAATATTTGATGATCCGTGACCCTTTTCATCACAGTCCCTTCCGCTTCGCCGGTTTATTTAATGTAGCATTGGACATAAACGCCCATGAAAATCTATCAAATGATGCCAACAAGATGGCACACTGGCGTATCTTTCCGGTGCTGATTCCGGTCCGTAATTTGGTTCGAGCATTCATTTAGGTTTGAAGCTTTTCGTTCGAAAATGGGGTGACGGTTTGCTACCAAACTGTATCAACTTAGTTCCAGAATCTTCTTCCAAAAGTGCCCTCGAAAACTTGGCTAGTGAATATTAACGTGGATGATAGAAATTTTTCTGCATAAGTAGAACTGAAATCTGCTTAGGAAGGAGGTTTTGCTGTTCATTTCGTGTTTAAGTCCGATGCGACACCGGTGGAATACAGTTTGGCGCAACTTCATGCCGAGAATGTGGCGTCATCAACGACGTTTTCGAATCCCGTCTATGAAATGGAAGAATCGCCGGACGTACAGTCAGTAGCGACAACGCCATCGTCGCTGGCAACTCCAGTACTCGAACCGCTGCATGCTGCGTCAGCAATATCACGTTCCCAGTCACTTGATATCAAACCTGAACTCTCTACTGCTATTATTGGTTCGTTTCTATTTCATTTCAGTGAAAAAAAGCCGGATTCTTCAAGTGCTGCTTTTTTTTTAAAAAAAAAGTAGACTTAAAAATTGTTCAGTTCTGATTGTTCAGTACAGTGTTCAAAATTCACCACTGTATGAGCAAATTGCTTGATTTAATTGAGAATAAGCCCGTACTTGGAAAACCACTTTTTTCCATTCGTTGTCTTGATGGAACTTCGTAGTCTGATTGAAGATCCAAAAATCTTGCCTCCGGATCCTGTCAAAACAGGAACATCTGTTGAGTCCATGCAGTCATCGGCACATAGTAAGAGGACTTCGTCTGTATAATGGTGCTTCTGCACGTATACCTGGATCATTTGTTTGTAACTCTTATCTTAGCCGACGTGTTTGTAGAATAAATAGATGCTATGTTTTTTTTTTTTTGTCGTAACGAATCGTCTTTCACGAAATCAGCTTGAAAATCATTCCACTCCGAGAGTAGCAGCTGCTTCACTCCGGCTGATTTTAAAATAGCAATTTTAATCTTGAGAAAAATCATCAAGTAGG